AGATGTAAAATATTTTCAGGAGATACTTCAATTCAGATTCCCGAAAATGTCTCAAGTATTTTGATAATTACTGTATAAATGTAACACTGACTCTATATTAAAGAAGTAGGATAAATTACAAAAAAACCCCAAGATTTCTGCATTATATTAGCAACAAAAAGAACTAGAGAAATGGAGTGTCATTCTTTCAATTCTTTATAAAATATTTATTATTTTTAAAGAATTATTTTTATTAACTTTGTTAATTAATTAATTAATTAGACCAGAGAAGGACAGAGAGAGAGAGAAGGAAAATGAGAAAGCAAGCTGCAAGGTCTGGGTCTCAAACCGTGATCAGTCTTGTGGGAGTCCAGCACTCTTAACCACCATGCCCCCTGCCAGCTCCAAATATTTATTATTTATCATGTATTGGCCTTATAAACATAAATACACTATGTAAAGATACATACATGAATACCACGTTAAACCGAAACAAGAACAACAAAAAGCTTTTTAAATTATAGTGCTTTAAAAATGTTTCTTAGGGTAGCCCTGATTTAAGAATCATATCCTTGAAATAAAAAATATAAAAAACTATGTGGATCTCAAGGAAATGAAAACTGGGGCAAAGACTGCTAATAATCTGGCCTCTAGCCCAAATTATAATACCAAAGAAAAATTAGAGAATAAAATTTAGAAAGTGCAAAATTAATGTGATTACGAATATCACAAAGGCTGGTAAACTTCTGGTAACAATATACAAGGCAGAGGTAGTAATAATTTTATTCAACTCTTTCAGAGATCTGAATTTAGATGTGTTTCATGACTAGTTACAGTAATCAATTCTAGTTTCTAAAAATGCATTATAGTTAAATCCCATTATGCATAAATATACTATTACAGTCAAAACTATCCAAAGAGAAAAATCTCCAAGTCTTGATTGCTGGTTCACTTACTTGAAAAATACATCAAAAACAAATTATTTAGGGTCCAGCAGGTGGTATAGTGGTTACTGGACTTCCACATGGGTGACCATGGTTTGAGTCCCAGACCTGGAATCTTTTTTTTTTTTTGAGAGGTTTTCGCTATAGGGCACATGCACTCACCAGACAGACAGAGAGAGACATAGAGATAGAAAGTGAGAAATCACCCCCCTGGGGGATGGTCACACCACAATCCCTTCTCCTCCATTCTCCTCTCGGGATCTTAGACATGCACGCACACGCGCCCGGCGTGAGTTTTAAGCCACTGGGTCCGGGACGCGAACCGCTGTCGACTACGTGGGAGTCCAGCGACATAGCCATTACGCTAACTGCTGGTTCCCCCAGACCTGGAATCTTGAAATTCATGCCAGATGCTGTGTGTGCATGCCCAAAATCCTGAGAGGAAAATGGAGGAAAAGGGACTGTGGCATGGCCACACCCCTCCCCCCCATCCCCAGGACTGATTTCTCACTTTCTCTTTCTCTCACTCTCTCTCTCTAGAGAGCAAACATGCCCTATAGCAAAAATCTCTGGAAACACACGGACACACGCAACAAAAAATTATTTACATAGTCCCGTTTTAATGAAACAACTTCATTAAGCGGGACTTAAGCAGTACAACAAGATCTCTGAAATAAAAGTATCTTGCCTTGTACTTAAACTATCTACACAGCTTCCACTACAACTGAGAAAAGCACTGCCAAGAAGGAAACACCCCTGGCTTTGTTTGGTATATGACTGTGAGCTTTCAGATGTGATTATGAACTGGTGTAGAGTATTAAGAACATAAAGAGGTATTGTAGAGTTATGGCCATTTTGGGCCATTGTCTCCTCCTACCCTTCCATAGAACAGACCTTTAAAGCTACCTCTTTGGACCCCTAGATGCCTGTGCACCTGGCTGGAAGACATTTGTCTAAAATGAGCCAAATGTCATTAGACACACACACTTCTATCGCTGTGCAGAATGATGTACAAACCGTATCAGTCAGGTCTATTACCCATAGAGTCAAGGGGTCTCCAGGCTCAAAAGAAAAAAAAAATAAAGTATAAAAGTTAGAATTTAGGAATTTGGTTTCCCTTTGATACAGGACCAAAGTTTATGTGAAAACTTTTAAAGCCTGGCAAGACATTTACTGAAAACCTATGTGGTATGTAACTTGACCCTATGAGTATATTTTGTTAAGTGTGCTAATTGCAGAGTGCCATTTCCAGTCCATTAAATACATTTATTTTGACACAAAAAGGATTGTTGTGATATTAACTGTCTCCCATAGTCTGAATGTAAGCTCCACACAATTCTCAGTTTCAGATTCCAGTAAAGGATTACAGGTTACCTTGGTGCATTAATCAGAACCCACTTATATTTTTGACGATGGGACTAGAGCCAACTGGGTTAAGTGTAATTTCTCTGCTTCTGCCAATACAAGCAACTGTTGTGAATAAATGAGCTGTACGAAAAGCTGACTGGGATCCTGGGAACTCTGGCTAGGGAAGGGTGATGGGGGTAGGAGAATAAGAAATCCTTTCAGATGCTGACTTTACAAACTTGATTAGATTGGCAACAAGTTTCCTACCAATTTTTAGGGAAAAAGTTCTTTGCAGTCTATGGATCACTCTCCCAGAGTAAAAGGGGTCATTTTGCTCACCATCACTTCCACAGGGACCATTTGAAGTTAATTTTTTAAAAGTTTTATTTATTTATTTATTTATTTTTTGGATTTTGTCATAGGCACATGTGCTAGCCTGAGAGAGACTGAGAAAGAGAGATGGAAAGTGAGAAATTACTCCCCAGGGGATGTCCACACAACAATCCCTCCTCCTCGATTCTCCTTCAGGATTTTGGGCATGCATGCACATGTGCCCAACATGATTTTCAAGCTGCCAGTCTGGGGCTCAAACCTCAGCCGACCATGTGGGACCCAGCACCTTAATCACCATGCCACCTGCTGGCCTCTTATAGAAGTATTTTAAAGTAAAATACCTAATTTATCTCACCACACTTTTTTACCTTAAAGAGGGAAGATTTAAGAGAAAAACACAAATCTACCTGAAGGGGAAAGATGTGATTATGATATTTAAAACACACATATTTCTAATGATCTTAAGAAGAAGTACAATACCATTTCACCATGGTGATTATCTGACCAGAGAACACATCATTCCTTTTAATAGTATAAGCCAACAACTATCAATACAAAAGACGGAAGAAGATTCCAATTAGGGAGGTAAGGCCTTAAGTACAGACAGAGCCAAGATAATATCAAACATCAAAGTTATTGATTCAAACAAAAGGTGCTCTCCTGAAAACTACTATCACTTCCATAATGTAGCACAATTCTTTTTTCCATACTACTGGGAGAGACACACAGTTCTTGTTTTCTCTGAGTTACTTCTTGTTATACAGAGTAGTATTCCAGTGCTTGTTAGGTATGTGACCATTACCATTATAGAAGTCATGGACCAAACTAAATCAACAATACATAATGAGATGCAAAGATATCAACCATTCATGAGTAGTACTCTTGAGTCTTCTATCTTTAGTTACCCTAGGATACAAGAAATGCCTACTATAACTCCCATCTTTATTAAAAAATATAAGACTTTTCAATTAAGTAGCATATTTTAATGTCTCAAATGAAGAGATATAAAATATTAGTATAGTTTATGGAATGCAAAAATCGATGGCAAGGAAGACTAACTTAGAATGAAAATGTCTATAATTGGGAAAATAAGTGTGATTTTTCTATTTCAGCTTCATATACTTGTTACAGATACCCAATTTGTAACATCTAAATGATGGCAGTCTTGAGAGTGTATTGCTTATAGCTATTGCTAGACTTTTTCTTTCCAAATCCTCTTACTCTAGAATACACTCTCTAAGATCTTGCTAAGGCTGATAGGATTGAGGATGCTAAAAGTAATACTACTGGTCAGACCCGATTTGCCAAGAAACAGGCCATATACACCCTGTCTGACTGGGGATAGATTCTTTTTTTTTTTAACCCTCTGATAACCTTTTGCTTTTGTCAAGAGACCATGATCTATATTTTTAAAAAGGAACTACTTCTGCAAATAATGATTTTCTATTCTGGATCATCTATTATATTATCTACATCACACTCCTTAAGACTGTCAGTAAAAAACATAGCATATCAATACCAATGATAATGGCAAAAGGGAAGGGGCACACTTTTTTTATGTTCATTAATGAAACCCATAAAAAAACTGAGCTGAAATAACCCCTAAGAATTGGAAATTATAAAATTTATTTGGGATTGGGGTTGTGAAAGGGATGAAAAAGATGGGGAAGAATAGAAGGAAGGAGAGGGCACTCAAAGGAAGGAGAGTTGGTTTATCTTGAGATAAAAGAAAAGAATTAGTGTCTTTAATTTCTAAGTACTGACTGACTCAGAGAAGACTTCATAGAATCTCTGGCTTGCCTATTCATTGCACTAATGCATCTGTTAAAAGATGATTGCGTAAGTGTTTGATTAAAATTCACTGTGGAACAAGATTTTTTTTTTGGTAATAATGTGCCTTCTTCCATTTTTTATTGACTTGTCAGGGCTCTTATGTAAGAAGGAAGACCAGAATGTATGGACCCACATTTTGACCTTGGAGGAAGACTGAATTATCAAACAGCCAACTTAAATACTCGGTCTTTGTTATCCCTTATAAAACCTCCATTTATGGAAAGAAGGTAAAACAGTAAGTAGTAATACTTTCTCAGTTTATGATGATAAATCTCTAAAGATGTCAGCTCTTCGTACTTAGGAGAGGATAATGATCATGCTGAAAATATTATGTGGCAGACCATTTCTTGGAATATTATCCTTCCTCAATCACTTGAAGTTGCTCTCTAAGGCATTAACAATGACACTGCCTAGCAAAACATATTTAAATAGAAAGCTCCAAATCCACTAGAGAAAAGAAATACTTGGGAAAATGAAAGACAAAGGAAGTGAAGAGTAAAGAACCAATCAAGGCACAGCCATACTTAGGTTAAAAAAAATAAATAAGAACACTTGATACTATACTTTGGTTTTGCATTTTTGTATTCTTCAGTGTCTGTGTCCTCGTCCTCTGAGTACCAATTATCTCCTCTTCCTCCAGCCAAAAGGCCCCTGGCCGCCAAAAGTCCCGCAGCATTCCCATAGCCAGTGTATTTCAGCAGGCTATCCACTGTAAAAACAGAATAGGATTTTAGACAGGACTCCCTGGGTAGAAACCATCACCAACCACTCATAAGCACAGGGAGGTTGGTGATGCAAGTTATGGCAGTACACTTTTAAGTGGAGAGGTTTTCAAAGTGTGGTATTGTTATACTTAATTACCTACAAATTCTCCTACATGTCCTGAGGGCTAAGAGTCTTTTTTAAAGATTAAAAGTTCAAATAGAACTGTTTTACACACACTTGTGGTAGAAGTGGTGCTTCTGGGACCACAAGACACAGGTAAGGGTTATGTTTTATGCTTCTGATTTTAAATTTTACTTTTTATAAATCCAGTTTTAGTGGCTAACAGGTGGCATGGAGGTTAAGGTTGCTGAATCCCATGTGGCCAACTGTGTGATTTGAGTCCTAGGCTTGCTGGGTTGAAAAATACAGAGGTTATATGCGTGTGTGTGCACCCAAAATCCCAAGTGGAGAATGGAAGAGATGGGATTAAAGGGTGCTTTCACACTTTCCCTCTCTTGCTCTCTTCTCTCTGGCAAGTGCACGTGCACTATAGTAAAACTTAAAAAAAATTCCAGTTTTGGGACCAGCAGATGGTGTAATGGTTACGTCACTGGACTCCTACTTAGTCAACCACAGTTCAAGTACCAGGCCCGGTGGTTTAAAATTCATGCTGGGCACATGTGCATGCATGCCCAAAATCCCCAAAGGAGAATGGAAGAAAAGAGACTACGGTGTGGCCATCCCCCTGGGGGGTCGATTTCTAGCTTTCTGTCTCCCTGTCTTTCTCTGTCTCTCAGGCGAGCACATGCGCCCTATAGCAAAAATCTCTCTCAGAAAAAATGTTCCAGTTTTAGAGAACTAACACTAAAAATACTAGTGATAATGAAAGTTAGACTGGAATTTTAACAATATGAAACTTGATATAAAGTATTTTATTTAGTCTTTGTAGGAATT